CCCAGGCGGCGACGAGGAAGCGCACGGAGGGGTCGCTCGAGCTCGCCGGCATACGAGTGGCGACGGGCGGCGGGGAGGTGGCCGGCGGCGAGAGCGCCCAGGAGGGCGAGCTGTGCGCCGTCACCATGAGCCGCCCAAAGGGCGGCGCGTCGCGCCGACCGCCGACCCGCAAGCCTCCCGGAGCGGCCCGGGAGGGCGGCGGGCTCAACGTAGGGTAGCGCTGGCAGGGAATCCACCGAGACGTAGACTCTCTTCGACCCGCCATTGTAGGAGGCACTTGGAGCACTTGGAGTGCAGTCGGTAACTCACATCCACCGGGCCGGGGGGCACGTCCCCTGGATGTGACACGGCACTCGGCACCGGCCACCGCACGGCCCTGCCGGGCCGCGCGCAGGGCCAGGGGTGACGCTGTGTGACGGGGGTTTCGACATTCGAGATTCGACGCCTGACGGGCTGACGGCCGCGCTGTAGCCGCTTCTGATGTCTCTTCTTCGGCTGCGGCCTCGCCTCCGCTCCAGCTTCGACTGGTACCGCCTACTCGCCGAGAGCGTCGACGGCCCAGCCGAGGAGCGCGAGGTCTCCCCGGCCGGGCGAGGGCGGCGGCGTTGTGGAACGCACCGCACCTCCTCGACGGTGGCCGGGCGGGCCAAGCTCTCTCCCTGCCTGGTCGATGAATCGCGCCCGCATCCGCGGTCTCTCTATCGTACCAATCGTACTCGCCTCGCCCCCCCTCTCGCTCGCTCGCCAAATCGCTCGCAGACTCCTTCAACGAGCCAGGGGTGGTGTGGGCTTCCTGGCTGGTCGTAAATCATGCCCCCCCCAGACAGCCCGCTCGCCCGACGGACGGGAACGCCATCACCCTCGCCCAGGGATCTACAATGCTGTCTTTAAGGTCCGATGTGGGCACCGCCTGCGCTCGGCACCGCGGCGGGGCACCGCCTCGGTACACAAACAGCTCACAGATCACACGAGCAAAGATCAGTCCGGGGATCTCAAAAGAGCTGGGTTGTGTGAGCAGCAGAACATCAACAACGCTGCTCGCAACATGCGTGTCGCGCACTCATTCATGACCGGTCTCAATGTCCCACCCCCCTGCGCGCGGGCCTTCTAGGCCCGCGGGTAGTCTCCCCCCATCCCCAGGGCCTCCAGGGCTCGCACCTCAACCTCTCATAGACCAGCGCACAGCGCATCGAGGTATTTTCTTCCCAATAACAAGGCCGTGAAGAATGGACTGAAAAAAGTTTGGCCAAAAGGCCCCACATGGCTGACCCTTGGGCATGGCCTCTCTGGGTGTGAGCTGGGTCGGCCTCCTCCGGGTCTGCAACTCGCACGGCGGGTCCGCGTCCGAGCAAGCATCCGCGGCCCGTGGTTGTCCTCTCGCAGGGCGCGACCAACATGATGATCCGCTGCGGACATGTCAGTGCTTCTGTCGACTATTGCTCGCTCTCTGTGCAGCTGCGACGCCAGAGACCGAGCTTGGAGAATGCCTCGAAGTGCTACTGCGCCTGTGGATTGCGCCGCAGCGCAAGCTCCATTGGTGAGCGGCGGTGGCGCGCCGGCCGCTTCATGCATGGCTCTCCGGAGAGGCGGCCGCGAACGCGCTTTTCTGCGTTTCATCGTCGAATTTGCCCGAATGGTAAACGCAACTTTGGCATTCGGTAAAAGTTGAAGTTGGCCGAATGGTTTGGGGGAAAAACCAAAGCGGAAGGTTGGCTCCTAGAGCTAAAGGTCGACATCTTCGGCTACGACAATGTGAACGTGATCTGGTCCTCACGGGGTTGACCCGTCTCCTCCAGATCGAGACGGACTTCATGAACGGCCGAGCAATATCTCTTCATTATTATTATTAATTGATGCTTT